CATGTGATATCTGTTTAGGCCCTTGAGAATCTGACTCCCGTTTTTGGTGTCGGGTATTCTGAAGAATCGGTGTATATGGTACTTCAGACACCTAACTAAGTTCTTCAAGTTTCCCTAATACACTCGAGCAATTGATATTTCGTCCTTGATTTTTCATCGTAGTTTGTATAGCTTCATAGATCGTTAGTCCTTATTACCACAGGTGTTTCTTTCGTTCTAGTTTCCTTCCTATTGTTCAAAATTCTTTTATTTGGTTTCATGTTTTTCTTATTCCTTAAGACATATCTACATTTCTTTCCCTTTCTCAAAGTCTTTACGCGTGTTCCCAGTCACCAGTGGATATCTATCGCACAAAACCAAAACATTGTGAATCCGGTATTCGCCTGTTCTCATGGTCTGTACTACGTTTGAGCATTCTGGTCCCCAGTTTGACTAAATTCACTCTTTTGGGCTGGAACTATTGGCAATGGTCGGGAAATGATGCTGATCTCATCATTCTTGTCTGGGATCAGCATGCGAATGGCCGTGTTCGTGTCTCGCGTTCGACAATAATCGGGATATTCTTGATTTATCTGGGTCTGTTGATGGGATCACGGCTGTTCCGACTCGCACTCAAATGCGCTTTGATTGGTTGCAGATCGATTGCCCACATACGTGGTGCTCGAACAAAACAAGTGCGTCTCTGTACCTGATCAATTTCGTCCGTATTTGCCTCCATTTGTAATTATTTTCAAAGATTTGCCAATGTTACCACAGTAACCTTATTTGTACCCTCTGGAGGTTGTTTAGAAATGAGCCAAACTCAAAGCATCGTTGCGACGATTCTATGAGGAACATTTTTTGGTTGGATTCTTTATTTTGCGCGCAACAGAAATATATTTATGGACAGTTGTTTCATCCAGTTTTTATGGTTTGTCAGTAGTGCATACTTTTTGGAGTTGCAACCCCTAAGCTACACGGTCGATGATCAACACCTTGAACGAATCGCTCACCAATTGAATAATATCATGTTTAGACTATCCCATTCGACTAATCACATGCACTGCTGATGGTTTTGGGTGTAGGCTTATATCGAGATTCCCCACCAGATTGATGTGCAACAGAAATCTCTGGGATAACCGACAAGACCATAAAAAGTGCCTGGATATTATAATTCCAACACGACATTATAATTGTATTCTTTTTTGCTTTACTAAACCTGAAACCAAAGACCAGTTTTTAATCGAATCATTACATGAACAGCTGAAAAAGCATTCTTGTTACTGCGACCATTACTTACTTGATATTTCTTTGTTGAATCACTTGTGTATAGATTCCCGATGTTTTATACAGCTCCAGTGTCTTAATTTGCATTTCTGATTGTTTTGAAATGTTATCAAATTGAAATTGGTTTCGTGATACTTCTCACGTTCAAATATGTGTATAACCGATGAGCCTCATTTAATTTTGTTTGACAGGTTAACATTACCACCAATTTATTGTCATAGTCTCATCTCTCCTCTCAGATTCGATGTCTGCTGGCTCTGGGTCTTTTCGTGACGTACTTTTCGCTGTCACTTTACTGCGTTTGGTCACCGTTCATGAGATCCAAATTTGGTGTGAATCCGAATAATTGTTCTTTAATCCTACGTGAGTTTAGGCGTTTGATGTCCTGTTAGCCTCTTCTTATTTCATAAACTGTTTACACTACTCATAATCCCTGTCAGTAGTCGTGCGTTATACGCAACTGTTTCATGCGCACTCCACCGACATAGGCGTATTGTCGTGGGTTCAGTATCTCCAGGTATCGTTTCCAGAGTGCACAATCAAAGCCGCTGATTCCGATAGACGTAACCTGATGTTTTTCTGATTCCTCCTGGAAGATGACTTAATAAAAGTTATGTACTACACACAGTATGTAGCTAAGCTCTGCACATTTCATGAATAATGTATCACTATTGGTTCACGGCCCGCAGTTCTCTGGGGTGTTTGCGAAGCTGCAGCTGATTTTTAATGACTTATTCACTATCTTCCCACACAATTAACTTTTTCATCCGCATAATGAAAGAGTTTTTTATTCAGCTGGCTGTGTATTGCATGTGCGTTGCACAGCCGCAAAATACGTTCTTGGACGATACATAGTCTGCTGCTGATCACGCTTTACATCTAGATATCTTGTGATTTGCAGTCCTGAAATGTGGAAAAAGACTTTGACAGAAGTTAAAAAAATATGAAACAATTGAATTTTCATTTTGCTCACTAGTATTGATCATCCACCGAGGAACTTGTAGCGCCCGTCTCATCGAACGCTATCTGAAACATCCTAGATCTGCTGAATCAAGTATTACAAAATAGGTTATACCACTTATTCCAATAATCTCACTCTCTCCGCAGAAAAGTACAACACGGAAGTGGTTTTTTGTTGCGGATTCACCGATCTGAGTCACTGTTTCACTCACTACGAACAGTTTTCGCTGAAGATCATCAGCAATGCATATCTTTCTGGTGTGGTGGTCTTCAAATCCGAGCGCACCCTTATTTTATTATCCAGAGTTGAGTTTCGCATAAGCATTCATCACATGATCATCCAATAAGTCTCCACTGTTTTTGGAAGAGACGAACTCCACTAGACCATGTTCAGTTCCCTGACGCACACGAAGGTTGCCTGGAAAGGATGAAAACCTTTTTCAGATAGTATTTGTAAAGATTTTTTGAGCCTGAGTGATGTATTGACTCCGCCTAACGAATTCACATTTTTGTAAGGGAATTCTTCGTGTATAGAGCTAATGAAGATGAACTGAAAAGCTAGGAACCACTGGACAGCTGTTTCGATCTGGTTGGATCTCACCAACAGTGCGAATCCATCGAACCCGGGACCTCACAGGCAAAAGGGTAATCATAATACCCATTCGATCACCAAGCGGCTGACCAGAGTGTTTTCCATTTTCTTCATACACGATGTAGCACAGCCCATCTTTGCGAGCTTGTTGCGGACCTCTCGCCTTGCCAGCTTCCGGTGTTATAAATCGTTTGGAAACTTTCATAACCTGATTATTTGTTATATAAGAGTAATGGAGGTTTCGATTTGTTTATCTGATGAATTCATCGTGTAGATGAGACTTGCTATATTGTGTATGTTCAAAATGAAAAACGGTCTGACCAACTGCCCGGTGACCGAGTGGGTAGTATGCTTGCGTTCTGTTCTATGAGGTCCCGGTTCGATCCCCATCACGTGTTTCCTTCATATTACATCCAATATGCTCTTATTCTCAAACACTTCTCCGTCAACTTATCTTTCAGCGTTGGCCGTTCTACTTTCGTCTCTCTCCATTTGGGGACTGCGCCTAGATCACATTGCACTTCGCATCGATTCCTGTCAGTTGCGTTCGTTCACTGCCCGTAGTGTAGAGGTCAGTCTCGGTTTCCTTTGGTTTGTCATACTCTCCGGGCGTATCTTCGACTGTAGTGGGAGGTAAGCGCTTACCGCGTATATTCCACCTTTTCCACCCGAGTTACCAGATTTCATCTCGAAGGGTTTTCACTACTATTTTCCCCACAGCTCCTCTGTTCCACGTCATTGTATGTCTAAGAGTGAATTAAAGTCACTAAGACCTACTAATTTTTACTTATCAGTGGCTTAATCTTTTACTCTTATTCTTATTTGACCGCAGAATTGAAAACCGGTTGCGGAACGTTGACTTTACCATTGTGGTACTAGGCTGATGATGTTCAATGTTTATTTGACCACATAGTTTCGTAACTTGTTCAGCTTCTAATGCTTCTGATGAAAGTAGGTCAGCCTTTTGATCCAAAGGCATAGTGTTATCGATGCGTTTCGCCGTGATTAAGGACACATTCTTCTCTGTTTCTTTCCCAAATAAACAAACCATCTACTCAAGATCGGACTTTATCGAAGTCAACTTGAAAGGTAATATAAGGGAACTTGTGTTACACTTGCATTTGTATTCTGATTTGGAGGGTATCATTTGGTGATCTACGCACACAAGACCCGTTTTTATCGCCTCGAGTGTATTCCTCGATGTATCCCGATTATACCGAAGAAATCAGAAAGCAGTGCATTCTTTTAATCTGGACTTTCCTTTATCCCAACGGTAATCGCTGCATATGAGATCAGGTAACAATCGGTCCTAAATGAGGCCCTTGAAACGTTCAATTTAAACATTCAAAAGCCCACTCAATTTCCCACTGCTACTGGTTTGATCGGTACCGCAATCAGATTATAGCCAATTTTATTATTCGAATATCACTTACGACTCCACTGACTTCACAGCATTCCGTTAGTATGATGGGACACTTGGATGAGCATTGCCGAGGTTAGTTTCAGAGTTTTAAGTAATGGAATTCACGCGCTGACGAAGCTACTTGACCCATATTGATTGCAGAGATCGGCGTCTGCTTCGCAAATCATTAGATGGGTGTCCTGGGTGTGATGCTTGCCGAGACAGGTAGTGAGGATTGTAAGAATGCTAAAGGTGTTTACAATAAAACTTAGCATGATGATAAGAAATCCCATTCGAGGAGACTTAGATATATAAACCATCGTAGGTTTCTCATTTCGGGATCTAGAGGTTGACCTAATCGGTTGGATGGGAACATTGACTGTCTTAAACAATGGCACTTGTGTTCACTCAGTTTCTATGTCGATTTGGTTTCTTTGCTCTCTTTATCCTTATTCTGAGTTTTTAAGTTTTTAACTATTCAGTTTACACCTTCCACATTGGTCGACCAAATGGTTGCGGAGCGGGCAACCAAAGCTGTCACACGACAGTACAAGGTCTATGGTTTTAATAATTGAACTGAACTACCATTCACTTGATTTGAAAATGTTGTAAAAGATGGAGTAGTTATTATTTCATCCACTGTTGACTGTTGAATTCTATAGCCTACAAGGTTAACACACGTGCAAGTCATTCAGAACGTAAACCTCTTCGATTAAGGCTGTTCACCCAGCGGGAAACTGGCCTGTTGTATTCTCCACACCAGGGCTATTTATAACCACATAACTTGCTAAATTAAAAAAGGAGCTTTGCGACATTTGTCGCGTTTGGCTTTAATGCGTTCAGAATGACAAACTAAGTTGCGTAAATGCATCTAGTTCATTTCATGCTAAATCGTTCCGTTATTTTGCAACTGGATTCATTTCTTACTGAGGGGGATAGTTCAAATCCTTTTGATCCTAGTACCGACGCGTTGATTCGAGCGAGATCATCGCTCTACGTTTTGTTTATCTGTCATCATCCCGTCCACCGGAAGCACAGTATAACTGAATTCTATTTACTCCAAAAAGAACGATCTCTCTCTCTATATATATATAGTACTCCCCACCCCCATACTTCTTTCTTAATTTCTTTCCCCACACTGATATGATACATCCTAATCCCTAGCCATCTTTTCATCATCATCCTGGTCGCCTATCTGGGAGTCGTTTGAAATTGTTTTCCAGATTCCTATTACCAATATTGTTGTTGTCCATATTGGATTACTGCATAGATCAGATATCATTTTGATCCCCATTGTGCTTCTGTGCAGGGACTATTGCATCCAGACAATCATTCACACTCCGAGGTCATTTGGCTTTTGTGTTTTCTACTCCTTACGAGTGTCTTGTTCCCTAAGTGAAAGGGTGAACAAGTAGTGTGAAGTAATTGCGAGTTGGCTTTGTCTACTGACCTTTAGATTTTTTAATATTAGA